AGTAATCGATAACCGCTCCACAGACCGCCACTGCGGGCTGCGAATGCGCTGGCAGTGCCTTTGTGGGGGTAATTCAGTCAGTCTTCAGCCATGTCCAGCTTTCGGACCATCTGCGTTTGCAAGAAAAGGACACATGTACCCGAACTGAAAAGACCTCAAGCAACCAACTCGCGGAAAACAACGTCGGAGTTGGTCAGCAATGGGGATATTCCACGTTATCGCAGCAGACCCTTGCCGCTAGTATAATCCCGGGTGCAGCGCTCCTTTGTTAACGCGAATCCAAGATCTGTTCCGCAAGCTCTGTTTGAGAAGAGATATTTAAAAAAAATGCTCAGATGTATACATTTGTGGGGGGGAAAAGGTGAGTCTAAAATCCAAATAAAGTAAGGGCTGGCTTTTTATTAGGTCTCACGTGCCATAATTATTATTATTTATTCTTATTATTAACACCGCTAACAAACGTCTGCATCAAAACAAGAAAAAGGGAAAGTCATCGCTTTTTACCGGCGCCCCCAGCCTACTGCGTATTCTATAACTAAATCCCGAACAGCTGTACAGCGCACACTCTCCTGCTCCGACTGATTTCTCACCAAGAGATAGAAACTGGGAGCCGGGGATTGGATGGAGCTGGGCGGCCGCTACCTCCTGACTCACAGATCCAGCGAGCAATCCGGGTGCGGAAAGCAGGAGAGAGAGGTCGAACTGGATACTGTTACAAGACAGCCGCCAGTCTCTCCGCCTGCCTTGGCATCCTCCTAGAGCCTCTGTATCTGTAATCTGCCCTGCGAGACCTGCAGGATTTAAGCAGTTTCGCAGAACGATAGCATAACGGTAACAGAACTGCGTGTGCGTTTCTTTTTCATTGCTTATTTCATTGAGCGCTGACCTATATTCCTCCGTCGTTAATGATACTGAAGCAATGTTTTAGACCATATTACACAGTACCCAATACCCTACACCTTATGATTTATTCGTTCATGACTCATTGCACAAAGTTAAAATTTCACTTAAAACACCTATCACCTCTTGCATAGGTGACTGACTTAACCATACACAGAATTGCGCATTCTTGATGGTGAAGTACTGTACATCTGTCCGAGGCGCTGACTGCTATCACCTGGTGTTCACTACAGGTTTTGAGTGTGAAAGAGTAACGGAAACATCAGGCTCATCATAATCTTACACGACAGCGGTTGATGGTTGCTTAATGGGACTGGGTTTTCAGGGCCAGCAACACCGCAATTTCATTCACACAACCCGTTTAAGAGCTGCTGTTTGCAAGTCTTTGAGCCAGCGTTTAAGATTTCTAAACATTATTTTGGACGGCTGTGGCGGTTTGGAAAAAAAAAAGGCCGATGTTTACTCCAAGACAAGAACCTACAGTATGTGAGTAATAATTATTGAACACGTGGAGTCAACAACACGCCAGCACAAACACAGAAGAGTTACTTTTCTCCACAGCGTCACTGAACCAATCACAGCTACAGCTCCCTCATAAACCATGAGCCAATAGGAAGAAGCCACAGGGAAATGGAACACCCTCCTAGAAGTTCAGACAGCATTCCTGGTTGCCATGGAAGCTCATTTTTGGTTGCAGATGGGGGGTCAAGCAGGCAGAGGGACACCACAATGAGTCCTCAGTAACCTGTGGTCAGATTCTGTGCTGGGTCTTTAAAATAAAGATAATGCAAAAACAGGCCACAAACTGCATTTAATAACATTTTTAAGACCGTCTTTCTTTCACGTATTGCAGCAAACACCCAGGGAATTTAGACCTAGTTTCAGCATGATCTGCCGAATACAGGAAAACGGTGACATGTGAGCAGTTCTATATACACAACAATGTGCAGAAAAACAGGATACCACCAAGCTACAAATAAGTTAAACAGCTTGTGATATTGTTTCGCAATTTAAATCCTTAAGTTAAACAAGTATCAAAGCACTTAAAGGGTGTGGTTTGCCACTATAATTAAAATGCAACACACAAGAAATGTTGACTTCTCCTTCCCAGATTCTGGGTACAGAGGATAATTTCCACACAGAAGCAGGTTTGTGCCAATCTTTGTCCAAGCCTGCCTTCCATTCTGTGAGATCTCACACCAGTACATTCAGGGTTCTTGCCAGGGCAGACCAACTGTCTTGACTTCGGACACCCCTTTAGATCTAAAGGAGATTATGATTATTTCCACTAAGTGAATTTCACTTAGAGCCCAGTAAGGCCAAGCGAAAAGGACAGTATAGGTTCTTTGATATAAATTGACAGACAACCTGTCACAGTTAAAGAAGAAGTGACATGCACACTGAAGGTTTTGTTAAAGGAGATCTGTTTCTCTTTACATCGTTTTGCTCTCCACCTCTGACCCCAGCAAAGATTCACCATGGAAACAGACTCTGTGGTAGCTTGCAAATCAATCTCTTGAGTTATACTGGGACTGGTAGTTGGTCTCTCCTTGCCCTCTCCAGAGAATAACATTGATTAGCTGTCTGGAGCAATTTGGACAATGTCCCATCAAACTGATCTCTCAGTCTATATGCAATGGGAGTTACAGTGCATTTGCCTTGTGGGAACAGTTTGCAGCTGAGGCAAGACATCGCTGGATCAAATTCTACTATGTTGACAAGGTTGTGCATTTTAATAAATGTGGCCTGTGCCTTGGTGTTTTACTGATTAGCCATCGGAAGAGCTCTGAAGGAGCTTTCTTGTTCCCCATCTGGTTCCTGTCCAGATTAGAGTAGCGTGAAAGTTAGGAATATTGTCATTTTTGGAAACAAGACCACTTTTCTGATAGGAGTTAAGTGTGGGGCTCAGAGAGAAAGAGGAATAGGAGAAGCACTCTGGTTGAAGAGTGGCTTCAGAGAGGCAGAGGCCTAGAATCCAGAATTCATGTTGAGCTGTCCAAGGAGAGGACTGTTTAACTTACTCCTGTATTTGTCATGTAACAGTTGGTGTTAACGATCCATCTCAGCTAACAGCAAGAGCATTTCACTAGATGCATTGATGGTATAAAGTGACGCCAGAGATGAGAACAGCGAAGGTTTTTAAAAGCACATCAAGCCAGCTGCTACTGCACGTCCATCTAGAAGCATCACTTCGCACTCGAGAGTCCGGCTCCACAAACCATTAACATTAGAGGGGCCAGGAAAGTAGAGGCGATATTTACAGTGAGGGGAGTGCAGACTGAAAGTGATTAAAAATAGCAGTGAATGTTCTCAGATTTCTGATGGAATCCGGGCAGCCAAGCCCAAGTCTGTGAAACTCCAAGCCTGGGGCTCTGTTAGGCGTGCCTCCTAGTATCCAGGAAACACTCGTAATAAAGCACCAGTGTGTCACTACATAGCTTCAGGGTGGAGTCTAGCTGGGTAAAAGAAGCATTGATAATGCAACATCAATAGTTTTGGTCACAGAACCCATGGTCACAGCCAAAGAAGCTCATTGATTTAAAGGTAATGCACTCGATGGTATACAGTACAATGCTGAACTTCGCATGCAGTAGTTACTATTGATCCTGCATCCTAGCTGCAGTCCTTAACCTGGAGCTGAGCATCTCCAAACCTTGCCTGTAAGGGTCCCCCAGCTGAGCAAGTATGTCTTTCCTGTACAGCTTCAGAATGATATTCTGCACGCTTCCAGCTACAGGCACAGTATAATGTAGAGGTCTGATTGCAGATGCATCCGTGGTTCGAAAACCCAGGTTTGTTCCTGCACAGTGCCAGCATATTGTTTTAAAAAAGAGTAACACAATCACAATCAGTTGTTCAAAATTAGCAGCGGACGTGGCTGCACATTAATTTCTTGGAGATCTCCGAACAGAGAGGTTGAGAACATCCTTGGAGATCGATAGGTTGCTATGAACAGTACTTGGACCAGTGAATACTGGTGTCCCCATATTCATCGCTATTTCCCCCAGTTTTCTTGAACTTTTACTGTGCTTTGGATGTATTTGAAATTAC